GTCTCCCGGACCCGTGCCTCCATGGAGAGATGGAGAGGCATTATTCCAAAAATGACCTTTATTGCCAGAGTCAGAGTTGGGGTGGTTCTAAATGCTCCAGTTGTAGCCATGCAGGCATTTCGCTGGGGGTTGTCCAGTTTTGCCCTGTCCGTGGATTTGTTAAGCGCGTCTTAACAAACTTATCTACCGTACGTGATCATAGGCCTTATCACTGCCTTGTAAAGCCAGTGGACTATGTGAGGATGCCCCGGTACGTCCGATGGAACTTCTACCAAGCCTAAAGGCTAGCAGTGACCCTCTGGCCGACCCTATTGACGTGATCTTCCCAGGTCAGCCGGGAATCAATGACGACTCCTAGATATTCGACCGAACCGGATGAAGTAAGTCTCGATCTACAAAGCGTGAGCCCTTCCAGACCCAAGTTTCTTAGTTTTGTAAATGGTACTTCTTCGGTTTTGTCCGGATTTACCGAGAGCCCGTAATTATTACACAGTCTCTCGACTATGTTAGGAAGCTCTTTGCATGATCCCTTTGATCGTGCTTGATACCCTACCAAATGACACTAGGAACCACAGCAAGGGCGATAGAACACCCACCTGCGGGCAACCTCTAGTTACGCTACGGTTGAACTGATCTTGGCATTTCCAATCGAGCTTGTAATGATGCCTTCGAGCATGACACAGATCCATTTAACAATGGTGTTCTTTATGCCAAAGCTTTCTGCATAATTCTTTATCGGGTCGAAGGAGGTGCTATTAAACGCCCTTTCGGGCACTCCGATGTATAGAAATAACCCCAGAGCCATCTCTTTATGCGACATCCCTCGCTCCAGCCTTGCCACAAGGCTGTGAAGAGCCGTTTCAGTTGACATGCCAGTTCTGTAGGCGTGTTGATTAGAGTGCATGGGCATTGTCTCCAATGCCCTTTCCCTAATAAATGTGTCTACCAGTTTCTCCAGCGTTTTTAGAAGAAGCGAGGATAGACTGACGGGTCTGTAATCCTCAGCCGCTTCGTAACTATAACGTCCTGACTTGGTGATGAATACCCCTCGGACCTTACGCCAGGAATGTGGTGTTTAACCATATGCAAGGTAGGCCCTGAAGAGGCGTACTGAATGCGGAGTCAGTAGCTCCAGCTCCTCTTGTGAAAGAACAAAAAAAATGCAATGTCCCACACACTTAAAATCTCGAAATGAGTAAATGTCCCATCTTATAGAGTTTTCTTAAAAATGAAGTGCAAATAAAAAAAAAACGCAGAAACTTGGTAAAGATAAGAATTTTTTTGCAGTTGCTAACTGCATCAAAAAATCAAATTTGGAAAGAAAACTTTTATAAACCGATACAAGAAATAGTCAACTATAATTTACACCAGAGTGGTGCTAATCTTGCATGTTACGGGCAAAAATTTAACAAACGGCTGTTTACAGGTATTTTTGAATTCGTCATGCTGAAAACTATTGTACTAGAAATTTTGGACTCGTTTCTATCTCGAATACTGTGCCGATTTTGGGTTTCGTCTACATATCAGCCGCCATCTTGTATATATATGTACATATCGCACTTCCGGTCCGAATTTCGCTTAGGCAACCGGCATTTTCGGATTTAGCAGGGCCAAAATAGGGTGTTAAGACCTTTTGCCCAGAAGTAATATGAAATGCTTCTGAAATTAAAACGGAGAGCTTTTTTGATATATCAGTCAAGACTTGGATAGTTTGTAAACTAGCTGGATAGTTTACAAACTAACCAACCCACTGGTTATTTTCATAGAAAACGGAACTTCCACTAAAATAGCAGCTAGTTTGCGAACTAACCTAGAGTCTTGGCTAATTTACTCGAAATTATTGAGAAAACTAAATTAGCTGGTTAGTTTATAAACTATCCAATGCACTATGCAGCCTGGCTAATATGAAAACCATTTTCTAGTAACACAAAATAGCCAAACCTTTGGCTAGTTTATAAAACCAACCAGCCAATTTTCTGGCTAATTTACAAATAAAGTTAGGTTCAACCAAATTGTTGTACCAAAACCAAAAGGCAGAGACACATGATGGTGCAGAATATCATGATGGTCAGTCATTCAGAGTAATTTCTGGAGCCAATGTTGCAGATTGGAAAAGAGAAACTTTCAGTTAGAAATCAAGTACAATGTTTACAAAAGCTAATTTTTGAGCTTCAGTAGCTATGGGTAGATGTATTTGCTGACTATTTCTCTGAAACTCACCATCGAGAACTTCTCTTTGCAAGAAGTCATACAAATATATTCACATAGGATAACGATACTGAATTTGCATTTTCAAATCTTGTTCCATGGATGTTTGATGTGAGGCAAAACACCAAAACTAAGTCTTTCTATCATTATTCCAATAACTATTGCTTTCACTCGACAGTTTTATGGGGAATTTCTTTTCAATATAATCTATTACATATTGTTCAAACTTGCCAAGTCCTCTTCTGGTCTACAATTGAGTTTATCTGGTGGTAACTGTGATTCTGCAGAGTGGTTGCAAACTCTCAAACATTCTTCTTTTTTAATTGTCTCTAACTCTTCATCAAAAATCTTAACAGATTGCTTGAAGATACTGGGCAACTTCTCACAAATGTAGTAACTATCATAGTATGGCAAAATTACATAAGTGCAGTTCACATCTGGAAACGAAGTTTAAAAATTATTATATTTTTCCAATGTTCTAGATAAGTGTTACTTACACTTGTCGTTGTTGGAATCAATTCTGAAATGTTTGTTGATTGAAAGGTGTGCTACGATAGTGGGAATAGTAACTGTTGATTCTGTGTTGTTTAGTGAGCGGCTTTGGGCCGTAACCTGATCAAATGGAGAGCGTGGTAAACTCTTGGCTTTTTGGCATATACCAACAGGGTCTATGTCAATTCGTCGTTCGTCAATTTGTCGTAAAGCCAATTCGCCGTAAAGTCAATTCGCCGTAAAGCCAATTCATTGTATACGTCAATTTGTCGTAAAGTCAATTCGTCGTACACGTCAATTCGCCGTACACGTCAATTCATCGTAGAACCAATTCGTCGTATACGTCAATTCGTCGTAGAGTAAATTCGTCGTATTGCTAATTCGTTGTCTAGGTAATTTGTCGTATACGTCAATTCGTCGTATTACAGGTATAATTTAAAAATGTAGAAATTTACACTTTTTCTGTTTAATCAGATATTACCAAACTTACCGATGATAACCCGGTTAGTTTGCAATTTTAGTCAGACATCACATTGTAAACTAACCCAAACTAACGGGGTTATTATCGGTAAGTCTGATAATTTCTAATTAAAACTGCAAACTATTAACACGTTGGCTACCACATAAGTCACCGGTGATGCATAAGATTCAGTTGCTTTCATGTCGACAGGGATGTTCGACCCAATTTACCCCAATACGAGCTGACTTTACGACAAATTGACGTATACGACGAATTGACGTATACAACGAATTGACTTTCCGACGAATTGGCGTATAAGGCAAACTGACTTTATGACGAATTGAGTTACGACGAATTGACGTACGACAGATTGATTTACGACGAATTGATGGTGACCCGTATCAAGAAATGCGCCGAAGAAGTACCAAAATCAAAAGAAAGACATACGATGGTACAGAACATCATCGATCATCATGGTCAGCCATTCAGAGTAATTCTTGGAGGCAATGTTGCAGATTAATCTCTTCTCGTTGTCGTCCATGAGCTGGAAAACAGAAACTTTCTGTTAGAAATCAAGTACAATGTTTCCAAAAGCTAATTTTTGAGCTTCAGTACCTATGGGTAGATGTATTTCCTGACTTTTTCTCTAAAACTCACAATCGAGAACCTCTCTTTGGGAGAAGTCATACAAATATGGTCACCTAGGATATACATACTCAAGCTTGGTCAAAGCTATACCAAACAGCAAAAATTGCATTTTTAAATTTTGTTCAATGGATGTTTGATGTAAGCCAAAAAACCAAAACTAAGTCTTTCTATCATTATTCGAAACACTATTGGTATCACTCGACAGTTTTGAGGGGAATTTTTTTTCAATTTAATCTATAACATATTTTTCAAACTTACCAAGTCCTCTTCTGGTCTACAATTGAGTTTACTTGGCGTTAGCTGTGATTCTGCAGAGTGGTTGCAGATTCTCGAACATCCTTTTTTTTTTTGATTGTCTGATTTTTCACCAAAAATCCTAACAGATTGCTTGAAGATAATCGGCGAGTCCTCACAAATGTAGTAACTATCATAGTATGGCAAAATTAAACAAGGTGCAGTTCACATCTGGAAACAAAGTTTAAAAATTATTATATTTTTCCAATGTTTTAGATAAGTGTTCCTTACGTTTTTGGAATCAATTCTTAAATGTTTGTTGTGTGAAAGTTGTACGGAGAGAGTTGGATGGAGACTATCTTCATTTGATCGTAAAAATATAATTGAGGTGACAAAATTCACTAATCACTTATCGATAGTAATTAATACATCTAAATACTATTTTAATTTTAAATATAGATAAATAAATAATTTAGCCCTGAAGTAAAATTAATTACTTGTTAGGGCAAACATCTACAACAATTAATTACCTCATTCAAAACTGACTGCATCTTACAAACTACGCGCTTCAAAAACACAAATCAAACGTCAGAAAAATCTCTTTAGAATTTTTGTAAATTCTTGTTTATTTAAATCACACAACGGAATCGATTTTTTTCCGGACCAATGTAATTTCGTAACAATGCCTCTCTCTCTCTCTCAGATCAGATCTACCCTACAGTCAATAAGTTACAATTATTTTCTTCTTCTTTCGAAGCGGCAATATTCTATATGCCCTTTTTCAAATTCGCTTGACTTCTAACTATAATTGTGACTATACAAACATATATTGTTGTCCTACTACTCCTACCCAAGGATTTCTAAGACTCTCGTTTTGGATCTTTAAGTGCTGGCCACTGAAACTAATATCATTATAAAACAGAAGTTGAAATTAAAATATCTCGCTCTTCAGTGGAATACATTTTTCTTATATAACATCATATTTCAATGCTGCATCCCAGGAATACAAAAGAAGATCCAGAGATATGGAAACAGAAACCGAAGAAGAATATCTTCTTATCGGAGATTATGAGTCCAGTGGGAGTTTTTCCAGCAGCGTGTCACTTTCTGACAGGAGTGTGGATAATATTTTAGAAGAATATCACTCTGATACTCCATATTCAGGTAGGTTTCATATGGTTTGTGAAAAATTGTTTTTGGCCTAAAAGTTAAAAAAAAATGCGTTAAAAAATATTCCTCTTAGGTCTTATCAAAGGTTCGGCAACTGGGGTCCTGGAAAATCTCAACATGAATATTCCGGCCGTTCGCCCAAAAACTCTAAAAAAACTCAAACGCGTCTACGATAATTCGACTAATGACGAGGTGAAAAGCGATAACGAAATATCCTCAAGTTCCGAAAAAGAATCGGATAATAAAGAAAATAGAGATCACAAGGTCGAGCGTATGTCGGCGCTCAGTCCATTTGACGAGCAAGAAGAATGGGCAAAAATCCAGGAAATTATGGCATCGTTTGGCACCGGAATAGTCCGGGAATCGGTTTTCGTTGCCGAGCTGGAAAAAGAATTCCAAAATAGGTTAATGACCATATCGTGTTCCCAGAACAGTTTGACTAATGCTTCGGAGATGACGGTGGAAAAATGGCTGCAGGGAATCGGATTGGGAGATTATAGCGGACTTTTTATGGCAAATGGATTCGATGATCTCGGGTTTTTAGTAAGTATGTGAAAAAAGTATACTATTTTGTCTATACTATAATTTCTCTAGAATGGGGTATTAGAAGAAAGTGACTTAACGGATATGGGCATATCTAGCAAAGAAGAACGAAGTTCTATCTTAGAAGCAGTGAAACAATTACCATTGAAAATCCATAAACAAATCCCGAATAACAATAATAACAATCAAGATATAGTCAAGCTATGGTTGAAAAAAATACATCTGGAACATTACTTCGATACATTTAATAAACATTTATACCATGATATGGAGCGAATAAAAAGAATTTGGGACGTGGAGCTATCAGCGGTTCTGGATATTGAAAAAAATGGTCATAGAAAGAGGATATTGGCTAGTGTTAGTAGTGGAGAGAATATAATTACTGGACCAAAAATGGAGGAGATTAGTGCTGAATCGACTTTATTGGTAAGCATATTAAATGATTCAAGAGTCCAGATTTAATGTTTTTTTTTTTTTTTAGAAAACAACAAGTGCTGAAATGCCTTCACCTTCAACTCAAAGTACCCACTCAACTAATAGTAGTAATACGGGCACTATAAGGCACAGGCATAAAAAATCCAGGCCTGCGCCTCAACCACCTGTCCAGCAAAAACAGGAGAAGAAAAATTCGGATATATTTGTTGGTGGAAATAATTCCATCAAAAGTCAGTGGCGTCATCAACCCATTTTACTTATTACTGGCTCTTTGAAATATTCAGCGAATGTAAGCATTGGCGTAGTCTTTTTTATTATAAAATTTTCCGAATTTCCTTTTTAGTACTGGGGTTCAACTTCTATAAAAGAGTTTAAAGGTACCGAATCTACTAAAAAATCTATTCAGACAGTTGTTAGATCTAAAGAGCATTTTTTGGAAGAAATAGTCTTGGCTATATCTTATAAAGGGGTGAAGTTTATTAACCCAACAAATCAAGTATGTATTATTATTTTAAAAAAAGAAATGAAAATTAAACAATTTAAATATTTTAGAACACTATTTGTGAACATGAAATTGTAAATATGAATTGCGCTTGTCAGGACGATGAACAACAGTCCTATTTTGCATATATAACTACAGAGAATGATCTTTACTATTGCCATGTGTTCCAAGCTGCAAGCCCAGTAAGACTTCAGTTTTTTTTTACTAGATTGTTTCATTAATTTATATGTTTAGGAACATGCTACTGAAATTATTCTAACATTAGGGCAAGCTTTCGAGCTAGCCTATCAGATGGCACTAAGGGATCACGTGACCAGTAAATGTAAAAAACCTGACCAAAATCGTAGCGATGCTTATAATAAGCCTGCAGTCAGCCCTGGATCTGTATCTTCTCATAGCAGAGATTTTAAAGTGAGTCTATATGCTATTATGTAAGTAAGTGTAAACTTCTTATAGGAATTCTTACGATAAGTGCAATAGGGAAGTTTACACTTCTATAGTGCGTCGTGACACATTTTCTTATTTTAATGAATTTGGGTCGTTTTCTTTTCAGGATTCCACAAAGACAGCAGATATGAAACTAAATGGTCATCCTCTGAAAATCATGCCTCTTACTCTCTCTATTGCTGCTGAGCCTAATAGCTCGTCAGGGTCCAGCTCTCAAAATACTCAGAACAAAACACCAACCAAAGTTGTAAGTGCTAATTTTAAAGCGTAGATAAATTTATGAATTTTATGTGTCCAGCCACTCTGGGGAAACTTTTATTTATAATTTATCCATGGATATGAATGATAATAGAATTTATTGCTGTTAATTAAAATTAAAAGAAAACAATATAAAAATTAAAATTAAAAGTTTCTGATTATGTTCAGTTCTTGTTTTTATTATGTTTTATTTGAATAATGAAATCAGTCTAGGTTGTGCAATACTTATAACTAAAATATATAAATCAAATATACTGAATAATGATAAAATAATTAACGTAATTATGTTTCCTTTATGTATTAAGCAATGCAATTTTTATGATTGTGATGCAAATCCAATAACTCATATGTTTCATTAAATTAATAATGAATAATATAAATTTTCTTATAAAATATGTTCGATCCCAACAAATATAAAAGTTTTGCGCATTATACGCACAAAATAAATTTAAAAAAAAATGTTGTGTAGCTTTCCTATCTAACTATTTGCGATAAAACAAGTATACATTTTTGTGATAATATATAAAACATTTTTCGCTTAAGCATAGCTTATGTATATTCTTTTTTCACTTCAGATAGTGATTGATATCAATTTGTTGCAATTTTATATTGAAAAGTTAGACACTGCCTGTGTATAAATAAAAAATAAATCTTTTTGAGTGTTGTGAAGAAATATTATATAAATGGATATTATTATTAGGTATATCAGCAGCATTAAAAATGTGCGCATTTGGAAATATATGAAACTACCTATATCTTATATTATAAACTACAACAGGGTGCGACACTGAAAATTTCCCATCCAAGTTTTATCACTATTGTGATAAAACAATAATAGTTATTTTTGTCTAGTGCGCGAAATGCTACTTTGGTGATCGACATCGGATTTTTTTAACGAGGCGTAGCCGAGTTAAAAAAATAGTCGAGATTACCAAAGTATTTCGCGCCCGTGTTGCAAACAATATTTTTTCTACAACTCCATTTAAATATCGATCATTCGAAGCTAAAATTGCATTTTCAAATAAAAGTAGGTGAATTTTAATTATTTTTGGTTTCCTGACAGGTATGTGTCACCATGATACCCCCATGAAATAGCTAGTTCGCGTTAAAAAATCAATACCTGGGAAAAAAAGTGTCACTTCGCAAACTGTCATGAGTTTGCGAACATCATCATTTCTTGACAGTTGTAGAAAAATGCAATTTTCTACCTTTAAGTCTGATAAAGTAAAATCAAATCGGCTGTTTTTAATTTCTACCATCGGCTTGCAGAGATATTCCAGTAGTGGTGTGCGTAAAATAGACCCAACAGAACATGATCATCAGCTAAATTCTAAATTCAATTCAATTCATGGAATAGAGTTTCTGCATCAGCTTGTTCTTAGCCTGATCTGGATTTACTGTTGTTACAACTATCGCGTTTGAAAATAAAGTCTGCTCAACGATCTTTCATTCATTCATCAGTGAAATGACCGAAGTAGTTGTAAATAATGGACCCTAGAAAGCTTGGTAGCTTTGGAGGATCCCAGAGACAATGGCAAGATGACATACAAAATATCACAGTAGAAAATTCTATTCAAACTACTGAAGATAAAAGCACTGGGAAGAATTTAGAAGATGACATCATCCAGTATCCAGTAGTGTATGACTACAGGCTGGAAGAAAAAGAAAATGACCCCGCTAAACAATTAAATTACATATATAATTATCGGTTTATAACGTTCTGCGTCTTCCGATTCCCGATCTCCAACCTTCTCTGTCCTGTCAATCCAGGCATCCTCCTCTAAGCCTATGTCCTCATTTCTTCGGCTACTCCACTTTTCCAGCTTCTTCTTGGTCTACGGCGCCGGCGTCTTCTTTCCCCTGGCTTCCACTCAATAATTTTCTTAGATATTCTTGCATCTGCCATTTTTTGTACAGGGTGGGCCTATTTGGACACTTTCTTATAGAAACGCCCTTTATTTTTAGAGATAGAAAAAAATGAACCCCCCACTCTGAGGCTCAGATTTCATGGAATTTTGATTGGTGTAAACCGCATTTTGATATCTTCAACCGTTTAGCCGCTAGAGGGCGATTCTCGATTTTGAGTAATATTGTAAAACCTTCATCATTTTTTTACTTATGAAAATAATTGATTTCCGTAAAAACTTTCTAAAAGTACTTTTTTAAGTAGAATTCAGTGACATTCTCAGTTTTTTTCTATTTGGCACCGATTTTGAGATATTGACCAAAGTCTGATTTTTTCCAATAGGACACCCTTTATATTAATAGCTCATTGAAAAGCTATGATTTTTCTGTTTTTATTGATATAAAGTTCGATAGGTTTATCTCTAACCGTTTTCCAGAAAAAAAATTATTTCGGTTTTTCCCATAAGAAGCAATGTGTTAGAAAAGGACTTTATATCTGTCAGAATAATGAAAAAGGTCTCTCTCTAACATATTGTTTCTTATGACAAAAACCAAAATAATTTTTTTCTCAAAAACTCTTCGAGATAAACCTATCGAACTTTATATCAGTAAAATCAGAAAAATCATAGCTTTTTAATGAGCTAATAACATAAAGGGTGACCTATTGAAAAAAATCAGACTTTGGTAAATACCTCAAAATCGGCGCCAAATAGAAAAAAAACTGAGAACGTCACTGAATTCTGCTTAAAAAAGTGCTTCCAGAAAGTTTTTACGGAAATCAATTATTTTCATAAACGAAAAAGTTATGAAAATTTTAAAATATTGCTCAAAATCGAGAATCGCCCTCTAGCGGCTAAACGGTTGAAGATATCAAAATGCGGTTTGCACCAATCAAAATTTCATGAAATTTGAGCCTCAGAGTGGGGGGTTCATTTTTTTCTATCTCTAAAAATAAAGGGTGTTTCCATAAGAAAGTGTCCAAGTTGGCCCACCCTGTACATGTCCCAACCAAATCAGCTGTTTGTCCTTTATATCATCTACTATTGTGTGTTTTACGTCCATAATCTCCCTAATTCTCAGATTTGTTATCCTTTCCATTTTTGACCTGCCTGCCGCTCTCCTCCAAAAGTCCATTTCAATTGCTTCCAGCATTTTTGCGGTTCTAGTCTTATGTGGCCAGACTTCTGAACCATATGTGACTATGCTTTCGACTATGGTGTTGTTTATTCTAATTTTGTTAGTTTTGTTGATATTTTGGTCCCACAGTACACCATTTAGCGTCCTTGTATATTCCGATCTTTAATTGCTTCGTCTAGGGTTCCCTCATGTGCTTCTTTATATATTTCTTTGTCTCGTGTCTTATTTGAACATAGACACTGTTTGTATTTCTTCCTTTTATCTGCCATGTCTTTCTCTATGTCTTGATCCCACCAATAAGGTGAGGGCCTTTTTCCATTTTTTTCGTATTTTCCCAGGGCTTCAAATGCTGCACTGTGAATACTCTTTTTGATATGGTGGTAATGCAGTTGAAGGTTTTGGAAGTTCATACTACTCTGTAATTTTTGATCTAATCTCTTCATATACAACCCCTTTGCGCTTTGCTCTTCTAGAGATTTTAGGTTGTATCTCTCAGGCATAATATTGTCTTCTTGTTTTTTTATTCTGTTTTCTTTTGCGGTGTTTCTGCCCGGGATAAAAAATTCTGTTTTCAGGGGGTAGTGATCGCTACCACAGGTCGCTCCCCTATATGCTCTCACATTCTGGAATTTTATGTTCGATCTCTGTTTTGCGATAGTGTAGTCAATAATCGATTTTTGTTGTCTAGGTTCATTTTTTCATGTGTAGGTACCTATGTATTTCTTCATGCTGAAAGTAACCGTTTAGGATTTTCAGGTTAATTTGTTGCATATTGCTATGAGCCTTTCTCCATTGTTATTCGTTACATTCTCTTCGAATTTTCAGACTACCTTGTCGTTGATTTTTCTTCCTGTTCGTCCGTTAAAGTCTCCCGGCAATATTATTTCCCTTGAAGTTCGTACTTTTATGATTTGCTCACTGAGTTGTTGATGACATGAATCCTTTATATTAACAAGTTCGTCGTCATTCACTCCACATATTCCCAAGATTGTTATTTTCCTTCCGAACATACATACATTTAGTTTTATTATTGTTTCGTTTACTGCTTCCCATGATGTTATATGTTTTCTCCATTTTCTGTATATCAAGATCGAAACTCCTTTATTCGCTTTGAATTCTTTTTGAACCCCTGACAATTAAATTCATAAGTAGAAACCATTGGAAAATACATCCTCGTTACCGAATGTCATAGGTAATAGAATCACCAGCATTATAAATTTAGATGGTAATAGAAACTTTGAAGAGAACCGTCTACATAGAGAGGCGGAGGAGTAGGCATTATGGCCAAGAACCAAGTAAATTGGTATAATTTGAAAAGCAGCTAATGTCAAAACTTCATTCAGTACCTTGAATGAAAGCGCCAGTTGTATTTGGGTATTTCAACTACCCAAACATAAATGGATAATCTGTCAGTACTCCAAGTTGGAAAGATGGTCTATGGATATACTGTGTCAAGATCAAGAAAACATTAAATTTATAGAATAATTAACTTCCCGACCCAAAGTTAAAGCACCCAATCGTTCCAACATTGTTGAAGTAAACAGCTATATTACAGCACTGGGACTGAATGTCTAAACAAAACTTGAGAGATTCAAAAGAGTCCCGAGTGGAGCACGAATGGAGATAGAGCTGCTAAGATGACAAAGAACAGTTTGACAAATTATTATTACAATGCCAGGGTCTAGAGCTGGATTGAAATCAAGCGAGGAAGAGGTCAAAGAAGTACTTATAAAAAAGAATTCAAGCCATTCTTGCTTAAAAAATATGAAGATGTATTGATTTTGAACCATCTCAAGAACTGCAGGAGTTCATGGAGTACCTAAGTATCTATGATTATAAAGTGTTTTTATTCGGGCGTCGTTAGTTGGAATTTCTTCCTGACGCTTCGCTAGCACGCGTTGCTAGCATCTTCAGAGGTGTTTCCATGTCCGATTTTGGTAGCAGACTGACGCGTTCCCGAACGCAAGTTGTATATATGTGTGAGTGGTGGGGGAGGGGCGCGGCTTCGCAGCACGTGGCTAATCTGAACTTTCTCTGTACTCAATCGGATCTTTCTTGCGTTTCTGAGGATCGGGTTCCAAATTTGGTCAAGTTTTAGTGTTTCTTCTTTCCTGTCGAAGTTCTCCGTATGTTTGTGGATTTCTATAGCTTCACGTTCAACACGATTGTGGTATCAAGAAGTCGGTGCAAGAAGCTTGATCTCACCAAATAGTATTTCGTGATTCCCTTCACTAAGCACATGTTCCGATACTGCCGATTTTTCCGATTGTCCTAGTCTGTAGTTTCTTTTGTGCTCGTTCATACTGGTTCCAATGGATCATTTTGTTGTTCCTATGTATACTTTACCATATATGCATGGTATACGATAGACTCCAGCGCTTGACAGTGGGTTCCTCTTATCCTTGGCTGATCTGATTGATTGCTGTATTTTCCTTATTGGTTTGAAAATCATTTTCATGTTGTGTTTCTCCAAGACTTTCCCTATCATCTCTGTCACTTGAGAAATGAAAGGCAGATATGCATTAGCCACCACTGGTTGTTCATCCACGTTTTGTCGTGTGTCCGTTTTGGGTCCCATGGCCCTGTCGATTTCAGATGCATTGTATCCATTTGATAAACTGTCCTGGTAAGAACTGAAGACTACAACCGGAAAATTCAGGAACTCCTTGATCCATCTACCTACCGAAAGCTAAAGAAGGATCCCACCCAAGCTATACTTCGGAAAACCAACAAACTGATTAGGTCATCTACCCTAACAGACACGGTTAAGGCATCATGAAAACGGAAGTGGTTCTACCATGACTCTACGGCCTACCCAAAATTCACAAACCTGAAGTCCCGCTAAGACCCATAGTGAGTACACCTGGAGCACCAACGTACCTAGCGAAACATCTTGCATCGCTTCTTCAACCGCATGTAGGAAAAACTAGCTCTTACGTCAAGGACTCCACTCACTCCGTCCACAAAATTAGGGATATTATTCTCCAACCTAAGGGTATCCTGGTACGCTCTGATGTCGTGACTCTATTCACAAAAGTGCCATGGACGGAATCTCTGGACTTGATATCAAGTGCCTTCCCCAATGACATAGTTGAGCTTTCCCGAACATGTCTCACTGCGGCGATTTCTACAAGCAAATGGACGGTGTAGCTATGCAACTCCGCTCAGCCCGGTTATAGCCAACTTCTTTATGGAGGATTTCGAGAGGAAAGGTATCGAATCTTTTGACCATAAACCAACGGTATGGCTTCGATACATAGATGATACCTTTGTCGTTTGGAATCACGGGGAAGAGAATGTTAACCAGTTCCTAGGCTACCTGAACGCGCAACATCCCAGCATACAATTTATCATGGAAAATGAGAAAACCCAAGAAATCGCCTTCTTAGGTAAAGAAATCTGGAGAAAAACTAAGCCACACAGTGTACCAAAAACCCACACTCACAGACAGGTACCTGCATGCACTCTCAAACCACCATCGAAGGCAAAAACGTGGAATTATAACAACGTTAACAGAACGTGCTCGGAACATCTGCGAGCCACAACATCTCGAGCAAGAACTGGATCACCTCAAGTCGGCCTTTCTATCAAATGGATACAATGCGTGTGAAATCGACGGGCCATGCGACCCAAAACTGCCTCACGACAAAACGTGGATGAACAACCAGTGGTGGCTAATGCATATCTGCCTTTCATTTCTCGGGTGACAGACAGGATAGGGAAAGTCTTGTAGAAACAACAT